AAATTTATAAACAAAAACTCCTATAAAAAGAGATTCAAATAAGATAGTGGCACTATAAGGTTCGTATAAATGAAGTCATTGATGTATTTACTAGAAGCAAGTTCTCCCTGTTGTTAATACTAAGTTGGGTATCTTGGTTTAGAATGGAAATTGATTCGAAGTTTTCTGCCAGGATAGAGGACTCCGGATTTTTACAACATGTCCTCCATGTAGTGAAATCTCAAAGCCCTTTCAGCAGTAGAACCCAGGAGACCTATCTCTGCATAGCTCCTCTTTGGATAGAGTCAGTCTAATCAGTCTCTACCCAGGCTTGCCACTTCTCAAATACCCTTCCTTTAAAAAGGCTTGTCGTCAGCCATAAACATAGGAGCCCAAGCGGTTTAAGAATGAAAATCATGGTAAGTTCTTTATTACAGTGTACCAACTGGTAAAGTAAACGGAGTTCAACGTAAGTTCTTCTTAAGTTACAACCCACTACTAAAAATACAACCTCCCTTTCCAAGTACAAATTGACTTCTCTTTCTGCTCTCTAGCTCATCATGGCTCCACCTTCTACAGCCTCTCCTGGATAGGCTGACCTCCTGCATTCCCCCAGCCAATCATATTATTTGTCCTGTAACCTGGCAAAATCGGTTAGGGTTCCATCACGTTCCTCCCCCCTCTTACTTCATTGCTCTTTTTGAGAGTCTCTGTACAGTTCTCTAGAAAGAGCACTGTATCCTTGTGTGCGTGTGCATGTGTGTGCACGCGCGCACAATTCACAGTTATTTCATATTTTATCCATCTTTAACACTTAGTTCTCACAAATCTATTTTTATTTATTTATTTATTTATTTATTTGATTTTTCCCCCGCCTCTCTAGAACATGTCTACTCGGGGTGGCTTACAAAATAAAACAAAACAGTATAAAAATATATAAAATCATAAAATTACAATTACAATTTAAAACAATTAATTTAAAGAGAGGATTACCAAGATGGAATAGCAAAGAAAAGAAAAAAGGAGAAAGACTATAACCATACTTAACAAATAACATTCTTGTAACAAATCACACCATAACTTACATATTATATTTAGTTAACCTTACTGCTTATGTTTCTATAGTTAATTCTATATATCATACTTTTCAATGCATCTTTCAATTTTGCCTTTTTCTTTTTCCCTTTTATAAAATTAGTGTATCTATATCATATTCACATGCATATTTAAACTCCAAACAATTTAACAATAGAATATTTTTACTATTTACAGTAATTATATTACTGTTGATTACCATTAGTCAGTACTAAATCATTTTCCACATGAGACAATATCTACATGATGTTCGTCTCTTTTTCTCCTTCTGAAGTATCCTTCATCACCACAACTTTGCGGAAATCCTTTCTCCAACCCACATCCAAACTCTAGGTCAAGGAAATCTGGTGCTTGTTATATAGATAGTTCTTCTATATCTCCAGGTTGGATTGTGTTTCTCTTTCTTTTTGTCATGTCTGTGGTCCTCAGGTTTGTTGGTAGAGGCAGGAGACTCTTCTGTATTAAGAAATGATGGTGGGCTTTTTCCTTATTGCATCCGGGTCTAGGAGCCAGAATGCCCAGAAAAGGCCTAAGAATACTGCACTGCAGAGGAAACATGGCAGATGTGTTTCCTTCACCTGTACAACATATCTCCTTGAGAACATCATAAAATCTGAAGGGGAGATGCCTTCTGTAAACTTGTCCTGAAATGGAAGAGTAACCTACTGTCTTTGTAGCTTATCTGGTTTGTTCTGAGGCATAGGCCTGCCTTTTATATCTTTTGTAGTCATTGAAGCAAAGTGGACACCACATAAAAAGTGGCAGTTTGGCCTTATTTGACTAGGCAGATAGATTATGTGGCTTTCTGATACTTGGTTACCACACTGTGCTGAGCATTGGCAGGGACTGTAGTTGATTTATTGATATATGGCTGACATCACACCTAGGCTACAAAAGTACATGAGGGGCTTCCATGTTGATCAACTCGCAGCATGGGTTACTTTTAAAATAAAGTAATAGCTATTAATTCTGGATGAAGGAGTTGTGGCTGAATGTTATGCAAGAGGTTTAATGTGTTTGAGAATTGATGCCAGCATATTTCTGTACTTAAAATTCCCTCTGAGATTTAACTTTCACTCTAATATGCTTGAGTTAAATCAGTGATTGGGAAGAGATGCTCATTAGCTTATACATCAAGACACACATGTTTCAGAAAGGTTTTGGGGTCAGGATTTTTTTAAAAAATTGTCCTGAACCAACTGTATGGGATGTAGTCAAAATATTGTTTATATACCTCATGGTGCAGATATAGGATTGTTCTCTGAAAACCATGGCTCACAATCAGCAATACTCAGTGACTTGAAGATAACACCATTTGAATTCCTTTGTCCCTTTTTTTCCTTAGCTTAATTATGACTTAAGCTAGCATAAGCACTAACTTGAATTTGTCATGGTTAACATTAACCATCATTCCTTTTGTAAACTTGAGTTCGTTTGAAATGCATCTACAAGCTAGGCACAGATTGTGGGTTAGTAGTATGACACATGTGGCACACGGGGAGTTCCAGATGTTGATGCTTTGTGTCGTCAAGAGGGTTTGGAAAGATTCCTAACAACTTGGTGATCTGCTTGTAGTCATTGTACACAATACAGAGCTGGATAGCTCTGACTTAGTGTAAGGTGGTTTCCTATCTTCTAAATGTAAGACTATGTAAGCATTGTTTATATTAGAGTGCAAAACACTAGGAATGTGAGCTCATGACCATGAATCATTTGGCATAATCACTTAGGATAGTCATGGCAATATTAAAAGCAAAATCTCTCCCCCCCCCCCAAGAAATCCATATATGATAAAAACACACTCTTAGAGCTGGGTTTTATGCTGAAGGTCAGTGCTGCCAGTCTTACTGAACACTAAACCTCTAGGCTGGATCATAATGTGGAAATCCAAATTATGATATTGCTAATGTAATAATAAAGATAAGATGAAGAGATAGTATTAATGTGCACATTTATGTGATTGTATGTGAACACATACAGTTCTCTGTATGCGGATTCCCTTTAAAATGCACCAGCGAATATAGTATGCTACACAGATAATGCATAAATCAAAATTCCTCTCTTCAGATATGTTAGAACTGTTTTTGAAAAAGAGAAATGAATTAGAAGCATTTGGGCAAGAAAGTTAAAAGATATCAAAAACCTTCTGGCACTGTTTTAATCCAGCATTTCATGTGATACTTGAACAAATGCATTTTCCCTCATGGGCTCTGGCATATTGAAATGGCCAGATATGTTACAGTAACATTGCGCCCTAAATTGTACACTTGAACAAATGCATTTTCCCTCATGGGCTCTGGCATACTGAAATGGCCGGATATGTTACAGTAACATTGTGCCCTAAATTGTACTTGATTAAGAATGGCTTGCACTTTCTGCATTCCGAAAGATATATGTTTAGGCATTAACGGTATGGTCCTTTTATTATAACCTGCCTTGCAGGCTGCATACTTCCTTTGGAAAAGCATCATCATTATGCATTTTCCCTCATGGGCTCTGGCATACTGAAATGGCCGGATATGTTACAGTAACATTGTGCCCTAAATTGTACTTGATTAAGAATGGCTTGCACTTTCTGCATTCCGAAAGATATATGTTTAGGCATTAACGGTATGGTCCTTTTATTATAACCTGCCTTGCAGGCTGCATACTTCCTTTGGAAAAGCATCATCATTTTACTACTTAACTGCCATTAAAGGCAGATGTGAGGAGCACAGTGCCTGAATACTCAACATGCTGCTGTCCTACATGGAAGTTTGGTTTTGATCCAGCCATTTGTTGTGTGACAGCATTTGCAAAATTGTGTGCTTGTTCTCATGTATAACTGAGACGTATACTGAAGTGGCATCATGAACCACTCCACATTAATGTTGCTTTGAAGCAGAGTTAAAGCAGGATTAAAATCCTCTTCTTCACTCCAGTGATTAACTGTAATATCCAGATTTAATTCAGCTGTTTCGAAGACACTGAATATTTTATAACATTTGTTTAGGAAAGTATTTCTTATTGGCCAGGGGAAAAGATTTATAAAGGCTTCACACTCTGTTGGTATATGTCTTCCTGAGTCTGCTGGAAGAAGATGGATTTGGCTGACATGAAGTGACAAATGGATTGATGGGAAAGGAGCCACAGAAATGGCAAGGGACGAGGGTCCTACAGTGATGTTCCTTGCTAGCTCTCAGGACTTTCCTTCAGATTTTCTCTGCCTGGAGAATATTTATTTTGCATATAATTTAGTTATTAAAATATCTCTGTCCTACCCTATATCAACTGTTTTATTATTTTGTATATTAAAGACTAAATTTACAAATTTACAAAAACACTGAAAAATTTAAAACGATGAAGAACAACTTGCAACAATTTAAACCTGTCTACCCCATGTGTTTATGTGGAATTGCTGGATACCATTGAATACATAATGAGTTAAAACTCCTTTTTCTGCTAAACATGCCCTCTGAACACATGGCAGGATTGAGATGAGCTATTAAGTACCATATGTACCATCAACCATTTTTCTTTGCCTAGGAAGCCTGCTTTAAGGAGGAGGGGGTAGAGCCTGGAATTTAGGCCCTCCTCACCCATTCTTCACAAAGAGGTTTCCCAGCACTTCCGTTTTCCACAGCCACTGCTCGCTTCATGCACAGATCTCACCTGGGCAACTGATGGGCCAACTGGTGTCTCTTTCAAAAGCTCCTTGTCCTCTACTTTTTGATCCCTAGTCTTGAAACATGTGTCGGTGTTGTCTAGAAAGCTCTAAGTTGTAATGGAAACTATGAAAGTACTAGATGCCAAGATATGCTCTGGGAGGTTTTTCTACCTTGCGTGTTTTAGGAAATGTTTAAATACAAATGTCTACTCTGCTGTTGTTCAAAATAGATTGACCTCAGTTTACCATTTGTAATCAACCATTTTTATGTCATCCCCAGATGAAAAAGAAGAAGGAATATTGGGGAGCATACTTCTTCCCAGCTTTCAGATATCTATGCTGTCTCCTGAAGACCACATCAATCGCAAGTACGCTTTTAAGGTGAGGATACAATTGAATCTGAGTTTGTCATGTTTACATTGCTCATGAACCCATACTTGTAAACATATAGGCTAAACTCCTGTTATTTAAATTACAGTGTAAGTAAGACGAATCAAAACATAAAGCAGTCACCAATCTCTGTAAGAGAAAAATGGTTGCCAGGTCAGTCATCACCCATCCAGCAGTCTACAGTGTTTGACTGAAATCCTGTTGCTGTACGTTGCACTGTGTAAAGCTGATGACATCATCAGCCATGGCAATTTTTCACAAAAAAAAACATTTTTTATTTTTCCTCTAAAGGTCTCAAGGCTTCTATGGAATCACTCTCATCATTAGGAAGCCTTGGGGGCCATGGGGCGGGACAGAGACATCTTTAATTATCAAGAATCATTGCTGGCTGTAAAGCCATCCCACTGGCAGCAGTTTTTGGTAATTAAAGGACTTCCCATCCTGTGCCCCCAGGCAGCTTCTCAATGATGAAAGTGATTCCCCAGGAGCTGTGAGACCTTTAGGGAAGAAATCAGAAATGTCATCAACCTCACACAGCACAACTTAACGGCAACAGGATTTTCAGCCACGTACTGTGGGATGGGTGGAAATGGGCCTAACAGCATTTTTCTGTTGCAACAACAGGTGACTGCCCAGTATTTTAATTTGTTATCCAGAACTGTAAAACAAAGCAATTCCATTCATTGAAAAGGCCCTTCATAGGAGTACTAGCAGTCTGCCAAAAATTGGAAACTTCTGCAAGAGGCTATGAATTTTATCACCTTGTTGACTTCAAAATCCTGCTTCTCCAGCTTGTATCATTTTTCAGCATGCCAAAGGGGATGCCCGTCAGAGATGTTCATTTGTACTTTGAAATGGTAATCTGATACCTTCTCCTAACCATGCTGAATTTAATTCCTGCAGTCGTATGTGTTTACATACAATTCTTCCAGCACCATTATAGAAAATCTATTTGCCCTTAACTATTATGGGGCTTATTTACAGTACTTGTGAAATTACAAAAATAGAATACCTCTGCATCTCCTGAGAAAATGTGCCTCAGGGCAACTCCACAGCTTCAATAGTTCTGTCATGTTCTCCAGGTCACCCTCTGGTCCTTGTAAGTGTTTCAGTTCTTTACAGATAGCCGTTCACCTATACAAGTGGTACCAGCCTAAGAAAGAGGCTTGTTGGCCCAATTCTCCCTAATTTGGGTCTTCTCTGCCATCCCAGGTATATGCAGTGAGTTAATCACAATCTTATCTGAATTTATGAATTAGGATTGCTTAAAGGTTCTCAGTATTGTTCTTATTCTACACTCCCCCCCCCAAAAAAAATATCCTTTGCTAACTTGGACAAGAGCAGAATAACAGCACTCTAAAATGTTGCCCTTCAATTCCCATAATAGGTTTTGCAGGATTTGTTGTCTTTAATAGATACATAATATGTTAAAAGTTCTTCCTTTGCTAAACATTTGTCACATTTTGTTTCTTGGATTTGAAATTCTCTGGGCTATCCTTGATGAAAATGGAGCTAAATCACACTTCATGTTTTAATAGGTAAGTGCATATTTTATAATTTGTTGTTTTGCTTTTTTTCCTTTAATATCTGACAATATATTTCTATCATTTCGTGTCCCAGATGCCTGTAGTGAATTTTTCCTCTACAATTCATAAAAACCACTTAGAAGCGCAGCAGGTGCACAGAAATACAACAGGCCTTACAAATTTAATACTAATATGTTTTCCCTAATATAATTGCCAGAGAAGATGGGCATGATGATGAATAACATTGTATTCTTTATTGTGTGATGAGATTTTAGAGCCAGCCTGCATAAATCTTGAAAGCAATGAATTACTGATTAAGGAAACAAGTAAGGTTCTTTGATTTCCTCTCTTCTTGCTTTTTTTTTACAGATTGTTATAACTTTTCCCCTGTAAAAATGACCATGTCATTTCCAATCAGGCAGCTCATCCAAACATGAGGACCTATTATTTCTGCACAGATACAGGCAAGGAAATGGAGCTGTGGATGAAAGCTATGATAGATGCGGCTCTTGTACAGACAGAACCGGTGAAAAGGTAACGCAAGCTGACCATCCCATAAAATCTTTGTCAGTTTACATCTTTGGCCCTCATTGTATTTTCTTGAGCAGATACATCCTGGAATAATGAAGTCTGATTGGATAGTTTTTAGCTTGGTAAAAAAAAACATTTTATTGCAAAATGGTGCTGAGATTTAAAACATCCATTTCAGTTGTTCTTTATTTTGCACAAAGACTATGTTGTTGTGCATACAACCTCCTTACCTGCTCTTTCAAACTTCACAAGATCACATACAAGGAATCACTATGTTGCCATCCATCTCCATCAGGAAAAGTCCATTCTTTTTCAGGAACTTTTTTGTATGAGTCATTAATTTGTGAAGGAAGGAGTAATAACACACAGTTAAATACTTGTTTTGGTATCATTTTATCCCAGTTTGTCTGTGTTTTATTGTCCGGTTTTCCTGTTTTAGAAAATGGCTTTATATAACTTGAGCCAAGGTGATTTTTGCCTTGAAAATTAGTGAATTCGACGTCATCCTTAGCAGTATTGCTATGATTTTAGGCAAACAACCATTTAAAAAACAAAAAATATTTTAAAGATTGTGCTCCTCTTCATTAAAGGGTGGTTAAAACATTTAACATTCTGTTGTTTCAAACAAATCAAACCAAGTATCTTTTAGAATCTTCCAAAAACAAAAAAGAAGAAGAAGTAGTAGTAGTAGTAGAAGAAGAAGAAGAAGAAGAAGAATCAAGCTGTACATCTTGGATTTTTGTGGAGAAAGAAAAGGGAATGCCTGGGTAGGAGGATGCATACTGTGAATGAATAATACTTCTATAATTGAAAAGAACTTCAGGTCACTTTTTATAGCTTATTGCTACAGATTAGTGTTTATAAAGTCAAAATTCTTTTCTAGTTAAAAAAATTCCTAAATCCAGAATTCCTAAATCCAGTTTTCCTTCAGCATTCTGAAGACTAGAAGGTAACTGCAAAAAAATAAAAGAAATTCTTGTCCGCCCTTCCTCACTCTTCCCCTTTATTGAAATGCTGCATTTTAGTAGTTGGGGTGGTTCTTCCAAATTAGAGTTGCATTCTTCCAAAACCTGGGAATAATGAACTAGCTACGCTTTACCAGTGGTATTGATTTAGAGCCCTTTTCAGCTAGTCATACAAGCAGGGGAAAAGGACAGGAATTCTGAATCTATTCTTGCCTTCTTTATTCTTCCTTTTTTATGCCAAAGAATAGCAATTTGTTGTTTGAACATTCACTGGTACACTTTCTATATTTAAAAGGAGCATTAAACATTGAATCAGTCACACTTGACTAATGGCATTTTCTATTTTCTCTCTCCATCCACCCATAAACACACACACATACATGCATACACACAAGAGCATAGCCCTTTTCCTAGTTTTCTGCTCTATAGCTATGGATATATATAATATACATTTTACAGAAGTTATTCTACCTTAGATAGACTTAATTGTTAGCACTCTCACATAATGACATCTGCTGGGATTTCTTTAAAAAAAAAATAAGTAGAGCCAGGTTTAATAATGCCCTGCAGGTACTACAGAGAGTAATTAATCCTAGCTGTTTTAAATAAGCGAGAAGCCATTTAAACTTGTCACTCAAATTATGAAGTAAGCTCTCATGTGGGTACATTATTCCTGCCGGATTTTAGATAACTCCAAATACTGTGCTGTCTCTTTGCATTTTATGGCCAGGGTCCAATGGTGTGCCTCTTTTAGATCCCCCACAACTGGTAATCCTCCCTGAAAGTCCCTCTGTCTCCTAAAAACTGCTTCAGAGAGCTGGGGAGGCCTCGACAGCACGTTCTTTCATGCCATGGAGGGCTACATAGGATGAAGAGAAGGGAGATCTGATTCCACTAGTTTTGGATACTGAAGTATACTATTATAGTATTAAAATATGTTGCATAGCCTTTTAAAGGTAAATCAGAGATGTATGTATTTATTGTGCACAGTTTTCAGCAATTTCATGCTAATAGTAGGAGCTGACTATGTTTACAAATCAGAGGTTGTGTTATCTGCAAGTGGAGTCTCAGTAAAGATGAGGTGGAAGGGACTTTTTTCTCGATGATACAGGGAAACTAATTCAAGGGAGGTTTTAAGAGTGGCTTCAGTGAGATGTCATCTTATGGGACCACCTTCAACAAGTGAATGCAAGGAATGGTAAGCTGAGCCATGGTTTGGGGAATGTAGCAGAGGTTCAATTTAGGACACCTTAGCCTTTGAGCAATAAATAGATTTGCACTATTGTCCGTTCCCCTCCAAACATACCTAAGTCACCTCGAGGGTTGCAAACCTCCAAGTGGAAGGAAGGAAGTTGGGAAAACAGAGCAACACAGGACATAACTCTGTTTCCTAGACAACTCTGATGGTTTTCAGATGAGCCACCATTGCTTCCCACATTGCTGAAGTGAGTGCCAGTCAAGCTCTGTTAGCATTTCCCTGTTCCAGATAGAGCAGGGGATGGGGAGAGGAAAGTAAGAGTAGAACCTTATGCCCCC